CCTGCACATAGAAATTCCAAGGCTTGCTCTCACATCTCCTCTCCCTGGCAAGGATCTCCACGGCCAAGCTGTACTGGCCAGAAACCATTCTCTTCTCAATCTTTCTCGATTCTATCTACACACTGCTTCCTCTTCCTTCCACCTTCCAGATTTTACCCTTCCCTGCTTTAATCAACAGATACAGCCTATTGGTCTTTTCATATCTGATCTTGAGGATGAGGAAGGGAGAAAGACATTTCATTCTTTATTCTTCTCATCAACTTAAAGGCAAAAATTTTCCTAATTAGAGACAAGATTTGCTGCCTGAAACTAGAAGCAAAATTGACAGCAACACCTTACCACGGGTTAAATTCTGTCTTCATGTTCATTGTTAAAACAAAAAACATAAATGGATGCTGTCAACTCTGACTCATTGTGACCCCGTGTGTGTCAGAGCAAAACTATGTTGCATAGGACTTTCAGTGGCTGATTTTTCAGAAACAGATTGCCAGGCCTTTCTTCTCTGGTGTTTCAGGGGGACTTGAACCTTTAAACTTTCACTTAGCAGCTGAGCACCTTCACAGTTTGCACAACTCAGGGGCTTCAGTTCATTATTACCTATTGTCATTGAGTCAGTTCCAACTCCCAGCAAATGTATGGAACAGAGTACAACTTCCCCTACAGGGTTTCCAAGGCTGTAATCTTTAAGGAGCTCTGGTGGCATAGTGGGTAAGGCATCTGGCTACTAACCAGAAGGTCTTTGGTTCAAATCCACCAGCTGCTCCACGGGAGGAAGATGAGGCAATCCACTTCCATAAAGATTTATAGCCCTGGAAACCCAATGGGGGTTGCTATGAGTTGGAATCAACTTGACGGCAGTGGGTTTGGTTTTGGTTTTAATATTTACAGAAGCAGACTGCCTCATCATTCACCCATGGAGCAGCTGGTAGGTTTGAACCATCAACCTTTCAGTTAGCAGCCAAGCGCTTTACCACTGCACCACCAACGCTTCTTTGTTCATTATTAGGACAGATCAAATCCTTGGAAAGCTTCTCAAAGAGGCACACAGGTCCCACCCACTCCTTATAGAACCCAGGCCACTGCACCCTCTGCTGCCCTCCTGACATCTAGGGATCTCCTCTGGGTCATGGGCATTTCTCTCCTATTCTACATCAGGGGCAGTCCCTCTGTCTCACAGCCTGGCCTCCTCTCCAGGAGAAAACCTGGCAGAGTCTCCTCACTGTATTGGACACAAAATCTTGGAGGAGAAGTGTTTGGGGACATGGAAATGTAGAGCCGCTGCCAGATTAAATAGAAGTAAATGGGGGAAACATAGCTCAAAAACGTGGCCAAATGGGACTTTGTTTTATTAGTTTTTCAACTTTTGTTATGTTTGAAATGTATCCTAATAAAAAGGTTTTGAAAATTAAGAAAAATAGGACAGATGGAGGGAGATGGGAAGAAAAGGAAAGAGGGAGGGAGAGAGAGATGAAGGAAGAATGGGAGAAAGGAAGATAAGAGGATAAATAGCTTTAGTAGGGCGAGTCACTACCCAGTGTTTCCTGGCAGCAAGTAGTCTGGCATAGTGCCTTAGAGCTCCACCTGGTGGTCTCACATAGAATTGTCATATTTAGGGAAAAAAACCAACTAACTGCCTTTGAGTGGATTCGGACTCACAGCGACCCCCCTTTGGGTTTCCCAGGCGGTAAATCTTTACAGAGGTAGATTGCCCAGTCTTCCTCCTGCGGAGTGGCTGGTGGATTTGAACCGCCACTCTTCTGGTTAGCAGTCAAATGCCTTAGGCACTACACCACCAGAGCTTGACCTCAGGAAAAGATTCCTTCTTTCATCTTCACAAATTATCAACCATCAAAGCTCAGTTTTTAGCAGCCTATTCTTCACCTGCCAGGAAAGGAAAACAGGGTGTGATTGTCTGTGTGTTCTGTGGGGTGTTTGTGTCATGGCTTTTCTCCATGCTTGTCAGTGTGACAGAACATAAAATCATCCTCCCCTGGAGCCATGATCCTAACCAAAGATTGGCTCCTCATTTGGAGTCTTAGTACTGAAAACTGATTCCCAGTCTGGGCTCCACTGTTTACTACTTTGATGAACTTGAGCTAGTCATGACTGTATTTGAGCCTTCCTTTCAATGCCCAGTTTGATAATTACCCTGCCTTCCTCTCACAGGTGTGAGGATGACATAAGAAAGTGAACGTGAATGTGCTTTGAAAAGAACAGCTCACTGCACAGATGCAAGGTGACAGTAGGAGTGGTAGAAGCAGATGTAGCTTTAGAAAAAGTTGTAGTAAGTTCAATGTATGAATGGTAATATTTTTTCTTTGCTCATAGAAGAAAATATCTTCTATCTTTTGCATGGACACAACTTGTTGAGGACTTCGTCAATGCATACATACTCAGCGGCATACACACAACTAGCACACTACCTAACAGTTCTAGGGTGAGATAGATTATTTGGACAGAAGCTACAGTAACAAGTTGCGATCAGCTCTATTCCAAGTCATGGCAACCCCAGGTGAGTCAGAGTAGAACTGTGCTCCAAAGGATTCTCAGTTGCTGATTCTTTTTTTTTTTAATTTTTAATTGTGATTTGGGTGAAAGCTTATAGAGCATATTCATTCTCCACACAGCAGTTCATACACATTTTGTTTCATAACATTGATTGTAATCCCCATAATATAACAGCTCTCTTCCCACTTTCTCCCTGTAATTACCTTTTCCCTGTGTCCTTTTTTCCTATGCATTCCTGCCCTTTGAGCTATCTCCCTGTGCAAGTACAGCCTGCCCTTCTGATCTGGTAGCATAGTGTCTAAGGCATTTGACTGCTAACCAGAAGTTTGGTGGTTCAAACCCACCAGCCACTCCACAAGAGGAAGACTGGGCAATCTAGTTCTATAAATGATTTACTGCCTCATAAACCCAAAAGGAGTCACTATGAGTTTAAATCAATTCGATGGCAGTGAGTTTTTTGGCTTTTTTTTTTTTTTTTTTTAATCTCCCATGATTGATGGTTCTAAGGAGTGTACCTACCTAGTGTAAATGTTCACATTATATGTCTGTCTATTGTTTGGCTGGAAGTCAGTGGCTGATTCCTTGGAAGTAGATCACCAGGGCTTTCTTTCAAGCACCTCTGGGTAGACTTGAACTGGCAGCTTTTCAGTCAGCAGATGAACACATAACCGTTTACATCACCCAAGGACTCTAGAAACTATAAGGAACCGACAAGCAAACTTGTGGCTGTGGAGTGGATTCTGACCCTTAGCAACCCTCCAGGACAGAGTAGAACTGTCCCATAGGGTTTCCAAAGCTGTAATCTTTACATAAACAGAGTGCTACACCTTTTTCCTGTGAAGTGCCTGGTGGACTCAAACCACCAAACTTTCAGTTTATAGCCAAGAGCTTACCCACTGCACCACCAAAACTCCTTTAGAAACTATAATAAGAACCTTGGAAGGATACAGTTCCCCAACTTCTTTCTTCCTTCATTTATATTTCACAGAGTAGCTTCCATTCCTTAAAGTGAAATCACCAGAGAGATGGTAAGTGTTCTTTCAAACTAAAAGAACAGCTATAGAACATTGCTTGTTCAATTGTTACATATTATCTTGATCTTTAATGTGATGAAAACCCTGCTAATAAAAGGTATGTTGATTTGGATATTAACAATAGGACTGTGACCAAAACAGCAAATTAAAATAATCTAAGACAAACTATTTCCCAGAAGCCAAGATTATTTTAATCAGATTCAACCTCAAGACACACATCAAAAATAAAAATACCTCACACTATCTGTTCCTTTGGTGAAGCATGAAATCACTCTGTAATTATCATTGTGGGTAAAATCCAATCTTGCAGCACAGAGAAGGGTGCTGGTAAAGGATTTACTATAAGAAAGGATGTCTGGTGTATGTTCCAAGTACATAAACCCAAGACCTTGGATAGTGCAAATGTTTAACACACTCAACTAACAGAATGGTTGGAGGTTCAAATTTGCGCAGAGGCACTTAGGAAGAAAGGCCTGGTGATCTACTTCCAAAAAAATCAGCCATCGGAAACCCTGTGGAGCACAATGGTTCAATCCACAACCAATCACGGGCATGGTGCAGTAGCAGGCTGCATTTCATTCAATAATCTGCGGTGTCACCATGAGTTAGGGGCCAAGGTGAGGGCAGCTAACAACATAATTATCCAAGATGTTGGATGAAAACTGCATGAAGGGTATACAGTATCTCTCATTATTTCTTACAACTGCATGTGACACTATAATTATCTCAAAAATATAAAAAATAGTATAGCAGCAGCATCAACTTCCATTTATTTATTTACTCAATAAATAGCTATTGGGCACTTCCTGTGTACCAGACACGGTTCTAGATGCTGGGGATACAGCATACAATAATACAAACAAAAATCCTTGCCCTCACAAAGCTTATATTCTAATGGAACTTGACTTGTCCACAGCTTCATTTACTCAGGTTAATTTTAATGCCAATTATGACATAAATGCTGATCACAAAGTATACACTTCCTCAGCCTTCCCACAGTAGGTTTGATTAGGTTTTCCTGTGCTACTTGACCAGGTTCAAATAATATTTGGAAATACCAACCTTTGTCACAAATGGTAAATCAATGAGTCATTCTTTCTCTTCACTAGAATGTTTAGAATGTCTGCAAAATTTAAAATCATCTCTACCAACATGTGCTTGGAAAAAATAACACCCATTTCTTTTGTATCCTTCTTTCCTCTAGGCTACACATAGTATCTAAGTATGAAGCTGTGGACACAATCAGTTGTCACAGAGATAGTTAGGATTTGATTGATGAATTACAAAGCCCAGCTAGCGCTGTCAAAGAAAGACATTTCTCCTAACCGCTCCAGTGCCCTAGAAGTCCACAGACGTCAGCGAAGAAGATGCAACCAGCAGACAGAAAATGGCAGCCACCCAAGCATTAAGGGGGCCCCTTCCAGGAATTTTCATCCCTGTCCCAAGTTCTTCTCCATGATGGCCTGCAATAGCACTTCTGTGGAGACTTATGAATACTTTCTGCTGAATACAAGCAATGTGTCCGACTCAGGGCAGACCACACTGTCAGCACCCCTCAGGATCTCTTTGGCAATAATGATGCTGCTGATGATTGTAGTGGGATGCCTGGGCAACACTGTCGTCTGTATCATTGTGTACCAGAGGCCAGCCATGCGTTCGGCCATCAACCTGTTGCTGGCCACCTTGGCCTTCTCTGACATCATGCTGTCCTTATGCTGCATGCCCTTCACCGCCATCACCCTGATCACCGTCAACTGGCATTTCGGGGACTCTCTCTGTCGGCTCTCTGCCACACTCTACTGGTTTTTTGTCTTGGAGGGCGTGGCCATTTTGCTCATCATCAGTGTGGACCGCTTTCTCATCATTGTCCAGCGTCAGGACAAGCTGAATCCACGGAGGGCCAAGGTGATTATTGCCATCTCCTGGGCCCTGTCTTTCTGTATCTCCATCCCCTCCCTCACAGGGTGGACTTTGGTGGAAGTGCCCACACGGGCTCCTCAGTGCGTGTTGGGCTACACTGAGTTTCCAGCCGCCCGCGCCTATGTGGTGACACTGGTGGTGGCTGTGTTCTTTGTGCCCTTCAGTGTCATGCTTTGCTCGTACATGTGCATCCTCAACACGGTCCGGAAGAATGCCGTCCGCGTGCACAACCGATCAGACAGCCTGGACCTGAGGCAGCTCACCAAGGCCGGCCTGCGGAGGCTGCAGCAACAGCACCAGGTCAGTGTGGACTTGAGCTTCAAAACCAAGGCCTTCACCACCATCCTTATCCTCTTCATTGGCTTCTCGCTTTGCTGGCTGCCCCACTCCGTCTATAGCCTCCTATCTGTGTTCAGCCGGCAGTTTTACTACAGTTCCTCCTTCTACACCACCAGCACCTGTGTTCTGTGGCTCAGTTACCTCAAGTCTGTCTTCAACCCCATCGTCTACTGCTGGAGAATCAAAAAATTCCGCGAGGCCTGCATCGAGTTGCTACCACAAACCTTCCAAATTCTTCCCGGAGTACCTGAGCGGATCCGGCGGAGAATCCAGCCAAGCACAGTCTATGTGTGCAATGAGAACCAATCTGCCGTTTAACAGAGAGAAGAGGAGCAGTAGAGATGTGGCAGTCTGACAGGTTGCAGGCAGGCATCTCTCTGGCCTTCTGCTTGGCTGCCTGGCACTTTAACCATGTCAGCATTTGTGGTGACTATTTAAGCACAAAGGTACTCATTTGTTACCACACGGGCCAAAGGTCCCAAATGTGGGCAGGATGATTATTTTTTTCTCATTGCAGAAGTATAGTATGTGGGTCTAATAGAAGCTGGAAGGGATTTAAGGCCAAATGAGAGTAGGGTGGAAAAGAGTGTAGAAGTGAAGCAGAAAGTTAGGGAGGAGTGGGAGCAGGGCATCAAGATGGTTGAGTGTCGGCAGAAGAGGGCTTCTGTTAAAACAGTTTAATTCTACAGTCCTTGCTCCCTCTACAAATGCCCAGGTGGCACACATGGTTAAGCACTCACCTATGAGCCAAAAGGTTCGCAACTCTGACCCACCCAGAGGTGTCTCATAAGATGGGCCTTGTGATCTGCTTCCAAAAGCTCACAGCCTTAGAAACCCCACGGAGCAGTTCTCCTCTGCACATATGGGGTTGCTGTGAGTCAGAATTGGCTCAACGACAACTAGCAGCTCCCTCTACATCCCTTGAAGAAAAATCCCATGGTGCCATATTCTGATATGAGAAACTCAAACAGGTATCATTTCAATAGTTATCATTCATTTTATTTGAAGCCAGCATTCTTCACTGTTGTTTATGTTGTGTGATGTATGGGGAAAACACATAAGGGTCTTTACATGGGTCACAATGTGCATTCCTGACAGTGGTAAACCATCTTTTCTATATCCCAAAACCACGCTGAGAGGCAGCGTGAGCCTCTGTGGGATGCGGGGGAGCCTTCAGTAACTCTAAGCCCGGAAAATGTTCTTGGTGGTTCAGCTGAAACGAGAAGCTCACCATGCTCATTTCTCATCTGTGCTACCTGAGGACTCATGCATGGGCCTGACCTCTCCTACCTGGTCCAGGTTCCTCAGCGTCCTGTCTCTGTGCCCGGAAGTCTTTCACCCCTCCCTGTCTGCTGTGAGAGAAATCCGTAGGTGGTACAGTTTCTGCGCCACTGCCACCCTAAATATTAGCTTCGAACCCACCCAGCAACACCACGGAAGAAAGGCGTAGTGGCCTGCTTCTGTTACAGGTTATAGCCAAGAAAACCCTTCAGGGCAGTTCCGTCACACATGGGGTCGCCATGAGTTGGCATCGACTCAATAGCACAGAGTTTGGTGTTTTTGTGTGCATACTTGCTGTGAGGGCCTATTGGCTCCTCCTCTTCCTCCCTCCTCTGTTGCCCAGGCCTCCCTCTATTTTCATTCCGTCCATTTCCAGTGTGCTGAAAAAATAGTCCTTTTCGTATAGTTCATATCTTCAACAAGGTTTACAGTAACTTGCTTTAAGTTTCAGAAATGGTCATTCTCTGTGTTGTGTTTATATCCTCCCTCCTGACACCCTGGGGCGCCATAGTCTTTGTGAGCCACCACGCTGACTTCAGCACTAGGAGTGCTGCAGGGGCACAGTAAACAAAACCAGCCGCTGTGCAGTTCCTCTCTGATCTCTGTGTTCAGATCCACCAGAATGTGACTGCTGCCATCTGGTCCACCTACTGGGGACCTTGTTCCTCACAATCCCAGACATGGCTGGGATCCCCAGGATGAAGCCTGCCTAAACCAAACCTGCTGCCACTGAGTCGATTCTGACTCATAGCGACACTGTAGGACATAGTAGAACTGCCCCATCGGGTTTCCAAGGCTGTAAATCTTTACAGAAGCAAACTGCCACATCTTTCTTCCATGGAGAGGCTAGTGGGTTAGAACTCCAACTAGCAGCCAAATGCTTTAACCACTATGCCACCAGAGCTCCTTGGAGCCTGCCTATAGGGGATGTTTCTACTTGCACCCTACAGTTGGTCACCATGGCCATGGCCACCCTTCACCATGGGGAGTTTCTGACACTGGGGAAGAGCTTTCCTGAATTCAGGGCATAGGATTATGAGTCCAGGAGCTCTGGTGGTGTAACAGATAAGGCATTTGACTGCTAATGAGAAGGTTGGTGGTTCAAATTCATCAGCTGCTCCATGAAAGACAATTTACTTCTATAAAGATTTACCACTTTGGAAACCCAATGGGGGTTGCTATGAGTCAGAATCGACTTGATGGCAGTGGGTTTGGGTTTTAGAAACTTTTTTTTTTTTTTTTAATTTTTTTGTGCTTTGGATGCAAATTTACAGAGCAAAATTTGTTTTACATTCAACAGTTCATGTACATTTGATTTCAGGCCCCGATGACCATCCCCAACCATAACAAGCTCTCCTCCCCTCCCTTCCCTGTGACCACCCCCTCCCTGTGCCCTTCTTAACTATGCACTCCTGTCTGCCCAGCTTTCCCTCTATGTGAACGCTGCCCCTCTGGTGTCCCATGGCTGATTGCTGTAAGGGATGCATCTCCCTAGAATAGGTGGTGCATTGCCCTAGGGTAGGTGTTCTGCATGTAGGTCTTTCTATTGTTGTGCTGAGAGCCAATCCATGGGAGTGAATCCATTTCTAGGACAAAAGGGTAACCCTGGGCCATAGTCTTGGGAGTTCCACCAGACTCTATCTGACCAGTAATTCTGGTCATTTTTGTGTTTTGGGATTTTGTTCCACATTTTTCCTCCCACTCTATCTAGGATCTCCAGTTTTGATCCTTTTCTGAGTGCTTGACATTGGTAGTCAAACATCATCTAGTTCTTCTGGTCTTGGGTTCCATCATATCCTTGGACTAATTGTTTCCATATGCCTTTGATTTTCTTCACTCTTCTTTGCTTCATTTGGAAGCTCTTTCAAGGAGCCCTGGTAGCACAAGGGTTAAGTGCTCAGCTGCTAATTGAAAGGTGGGAAGTTCGTCCTACCCAGCAGCTCTGGGTAAGAAAGACCTGGCCATCTACTCCCATAAAGACGATAGCATAGGAAACCCTATTGGCAGGTCTACTATGAGTCAGAACTGACCTGATGGCAGTTGTATAGGGTCACTGACTCAGAATAAACTCCATAGCACCCAACAATAACAAACTCTTTTTTAGACTTTAAGATCTAAAATCAGTGGGAAATTTAAGGAGAAAATAAAAAAAAAATCTGACTTCAGGCCTTATTCTACCAGGAACTAGTTGTGACCTTGTTTGGTTCACTTCCTTTCTCTGGGCTTCAAATTCTGCATTTCCCAAGTGAGGAAGCAGATCTAGAGGTCACCAACGTCCCTTCAATCTTTCAGACATGCTTATTTTAAGATTTGAATGTTTTCTACTCTTTGTCACCAGGTCCCCTGCATTCCTTTATTCATTCAAGCAATGAGGTGTTTTTGTTTTTGTTTTTTTTAAAGTGCCTATTAGATGCAAGGGATTGTGGGGAAATAGTGATGAGTAAGGCCAGGCCCCTGTCTAAAACCAGTTGTATGATTTATCTGAGCATATGGCTCCTCATAAAATCACAAAACCTACATTTTTGTCTCACTTCTCATTTTATTTCTAAGGTTCTATTAAGAGATCAGGAGTCCCTGGGTAGTACAGATGGCTAAGTGCTTAGCTACTAAGTAAAACGTTAGAGATTGCGTCCAGTGAGAGGTGCCTTGAAAGAGAAGCCTGGCAATCTACTTCTGAAAAGTCAGCCATTAAAATCCCTACAGAGTTCAGTTCTACTCTCACATGCATGGGGTCGCCATGAGTCAGAGTCAACTTGGTGGTGACTGTTTTTTTGTTTGTTTTTATTAAGAGACCAGCTCCTCACTCTTACATTTTCTTCCTGTCGTAGTCTTGACAAAGGCAAGGAGGAGGGGAGGTAAAAAGGAAAACATAATTTACATTAATCTAGGTCAGAGAGGATTTATCCAGGAAACAATTGACACCTTTTCTCACCACCATGTCTTTTATACAGAGATGAAGAAAGAAAGAGATTGGCAATTGGTTTGTAATTAATTTAAGTGGATTTAATCATTTTGTGTCCTGAGAGCCCACCAAGCACAGGCCAGAGTTTGCCTTTAGCTCTCCGTTGGACAGGGCTGCAGGTGCCCCCAGGGTGCAGGACAGGGCCTATTCAAGTCCCCAGCAGTGCCTAAGAGTGGAAAACCCATGGTCCCAAGCCAGGGAAAGCCTCCCGTCCAGTGGGTATTTAAGAATGTTCTTTAGGAGCCTTGAGTAAAATAGAAATCACAATACTGAATGAGTGAAGGTACCAAAATGTACATCCATCAGTGTTATATGATGTGTATCTGTCAGTAATATATACATTTCAAAGTAATAATTTTGTATATATTTTAAATAAAGTACCATTGTTCTTTCTGTGTATAAGGCTATGTTCTTCTCAAAATTAATACCACGACCATAAACAGTAAGCCAAGAATGTGAGTCCCACACCTCCTAAGAAAAACAATTTCAGGAAATTTAGAACCTGGAAATGACAAGCAGTGCTGGAATGCCTGTAGAAGGCAGTCATCATCATGATAATTGCTGCCTGCATTTAAGCAATGTGGGTCACAGCCTGGGTACTACCTTTCATCACAGCCCTGCCAAGTCACTCCAACCAGGTAGCTTTCACCTCTGACTTTCAGTATGCCCACCTTCATAATTATCTCTGGCCTCACTGAACCTTTAATGAACTTCCATTGCTTAAGATATTGCATAAAATACCCATTCTGGTCTCATTCTCTGAGATTTACACAGCAATAACTTTCTTTTTTTTTCATCTTCTCTGCAGCTCTGGAATTTAACCAAACCTTGGACTCTGTTTGAAGTCCCTGCCTGCTTCACACCTCAATAGTTAGTGCAGGGCCTTGGGCAAGAGACAAGAAATTGGCCAGCTTTAGTTGTAACTGACACAGGAGGCATGACACCAGGGCATTCTGCGAGAGTCTAGTCTTAGACTTAGGAAATCTCAGAAGTGTCATTCTAAGTCTGTCTTCCCTTGAAAATTTGCCACCTTTTAATCTTTAATCTTGATCCCCATTGATGGGGTGAAATAAAA